TCACGGCACTGACTCATACATAGTTGTGGCTTCTCACCCCACGGTGGTCCACCACCTCTAGTTCCATTGAAAAACTGAAAAATTATTTTAGTGTCTCATAGTTCTAATACTTTAAAAAGAGAATTCAATTTATCCAGCTTCTTTTTTGGGGGGGAGGAGAGAGGGAGCAGTCCCAAAGTTAAAAAGTGGAAAGTATGTAGCCAGCCTACACATGAACACTGCTGTGTCCAAAGCAGGCAGTTGTGTGATACAAAACCTAGCTTTCACGCCTTCGGCTGGGCTGTGAACGGGGCTGGCATTTCGACATCTCCTTGAGACCTGTCCTTATGGTTTTCATATCTTAGCATGGAACTTTCTCGTATAGACTTCCTGAATTTGCACTCAAATCTATTATTCTCTTCTATGACCCAATAACTTTTTTCTTTTGACGCAGGATTCTCCATTCTGAATTAGTCACAGTCTTTTTTACCTGCTTTCTTTCCACAGAGATGAAACTTTAGACATGAAATCCATGCTTTATGACATGCATTACTAGATTTTCTCCAATGCCCCTTTTCTTGCTACTATATATCTGAGTTATAAGACTGTAAATAGAAGTTGCTTTGAGGCTCTTAAAAGATTACTTCCAATGTTTCAGTATTTGAATAAAATCACTAGCAAATTCAGATTTCTAAGCAATCATATACCTTATAGACTTGTAGCAATATCTCACAGCTTAGTAGGATTTGTGCTGTCATGATTGACCAGTCATAAAGCTTTTTTCCCAGATAGGTCATAACCCTTCAGTTCAGCCCTTGGACAGGTTCCATGACACATAATTTAGTTCATCCAGCAGGGGAAAGACACCATTATGCCCTCGTTGACCTTTTCTATCTAGAGAGATACATTCATATGTATCCAGCTCTCTCCCGGACGGCGGTAGCTACAACTTGCATCTATTGTTTCCATGGGAAAACCTCATGAGAAGAACATTCCTTGAAATTCTGAGCTATCAACTGTTGTCTATTAGTTTCTGTGTCCACATTGGTCTGATGCCTGACATTTGAATGTGGCATTGTGTCAGCATCTGGGGGACTGTTTTCTCTTTCTTTCGAGTTCTAAGGGTCGCTGTGCATACAGCCCTCAGGACAGGCTCAGTGAGGTCTGAGACATTGAGGTGGCTCACCTGCTCCTCTCCACACGTGTTCAAAGCACCCACAACCCTCACCAGAGACCCCATACTTTACAGACACATGGAACCCTGGAGTTGGAAAGACCTTGGTGATGTGGTTCTGTGATTTTCTAGCTCTGCTTCTCAGGCCTTGGCCTTCATCGAGATGCCTCGAGGGGACACGGCAGCAGGAAATAAAGGGGAAGCTGAGTAGGTGGGGAGCTGCCAACTCAGCTTCAGCCTCAAACAAAACAGTGATTCTTTTAACTCTTGTAAACAACCAGGTGCTTCATTTCATTTTGTTTGAAAACAGGGTTCTGATGTTAAAAAGAGATTTGAACACACCCGGGCTGCTATGTTCTCTTCATTTGGCAGAAGAGAAAACTGAAGCCCAGAGAAGTAACTTTTACTCGGTGTGTTAAAATACACTTGGTTGGTGGATCTGAGAATCAGTATTGCTCTCATTCTCTCAATCATCAACAGACCGGTCTTGTCTGGGACAAAATTTATGGCTGATGCTGACACAGACGCCCTAGTCCCCTCTTAGCAGTCACAGAGAATAGAGTCTCTTCAGCCCAACTCAGTGTAGGTTCTGGGTAAATCTTTATCGAATGAGCATTACAGGCAATTGTTTTCAGCTTCCATTCGGCTGCTTAGCCAAGAATCTGCAAGTAGATTCTTGTCACCTCTGATCTCTTCACTGACCTTTGAATGTCTCTTCACATGACTCCCAAGCTCCTAAACAGGAAAACCATCCATTGTGGTTCCTGGAGAAAAAGCCTAACGAGGAAGGCGATTTTCCCTTAAGTGATTCTGTGCCAGAAAAGAAACGACTGTCTATAAAATGGTGTTCAAAGGGGATATATGGTAAAAGCAGAATTTCTAAAGCCAGGTTCCCTGTGCTCAAATTGGGCAACCTATTTTAACTTTTTTATGTCTTAGTTTCTTCATCTCTAAGTGAGGATAATAATCACACCTACATCATAGGGTTGCTAAGGCATCATAGGGTTAAATATATATAAAAGTACTTAGAATAGTGTCTGACATATAATAGGTGCTCTCTAAGTCTTAGCTATTATTATTATTATTTTGTTACTAAGGAGCTAGGACAATAGCTTGTAGGTCCTTTAGATTGTAACAGAGTCTCAGTCAGATTTTCTAGCAGAATGTGGTGAAGACTGTTATGCTCCAAAAGGGAGACAGAGATTTCTTGGGGACCTATGGAGAGCCCTAGAATTCAGCCTGGAATGTAATTCAAGACCTGGAGAGATCTAATGCAGCACTAGGGGCTGGGTTGTATTGCTGCTTCCACAGCATCTTACAGTTGTTCATTTTCTCTCTTGTCTTCACCTATTAAAATGACTCAGCCAATTTCTCCATATCTTATTATTATTTGTGAGTCTCCTTTCTCAGCTGGCTTAGTCCTTTCTCATATTTTTCAGTTTAAATCCTCAAGAGAGAGATAATTTCATTGGTTCTGCTTAATAATCATTGACTAGCTCTAGGACATGTCATAGCTCTATTCTGTTCATGCATTGATGAACAGTGAGTCAGGGGCTTATTCTAGTATGATTACCTGAAGGGCAAGGTCAAATGCTAGAACAGTCGTTACCTAAGCAAAGGATTATGGGTGAGGAATACCATGGAAGTATAGAGGAGACTGAGAACCAGTCTGTTCTTTATTCAGGGGTGTAGTTGTAATCGGAGTCAACAAGAGCAGATCCACTGTGATATGCTGAACTCCTCTCCATTACAGCTCTCTGTAAGTGTGGAGTCATCTGAACCTGATGACCCAGCGTAACTAGTCTAGAAAGAGGAATTTAGTAAAGGGTCCTAATGTGTCTTAAGGAAGCAAAAAAATCACAGCGGCCGCCCCTCAGTACAATGGGAAGTAGGAAAGGGAACCTGGAAGGACTCTTTGTTGGTCTTTTGTGGTAGATTCTCTTTGAATAACTGCTTCATACTTGTCTTCTTCTCGACTTCTCTACGTTGGCCAATCTGCTCTCCTACTCTGAATCTCTTTTAAATGCCCAACTTCCTAAAGCTCAGGGAAAAATTTTTAGTAAACCATATATGGGTGAGATTCTTACTTCTGAATCAATTAACTGCAGGCAGGGTGATGAGACACTTTAATAAAGTGGTTGGGCATGGAGGGGCATGGAGGATCAATATCTTATAATATCAAGGTTGGGTAAAGGGATTCATTGGGCATATAACGTGTTCAATAAAAATAAATCCTTTGGTTATCCTTGACCATGTGGGCTATAGACAAATGCTGCTCCCCTCTCAGTCAAACGCCCGATTGTTTTATTTCCTGGATGAAATAAAATTTGTCATTTGTTTGTGGTCTATTTCATTTTTGTCAATGGCCATGGCACTGTGGCAACGCCCAGAGTTGACGTCAGAAAGTGAGGGGAAGGGAAAGGAGAAGGACAATATACACTGAGCACGTGGTTTGGGCTAGGAGATGTCTTACGCGTCCTTGTTTAATTTTGACAATACGCTCTTGAACTAGGAGTTGTTACACTTGTTTTAGACCCGAGGAACTTCTGGATCTGAGAGATTAAACCGTTTACTCTAAGTTTCACTGAGAATTAGTGGTAGAATCAGGATTCAGATACAAGCCCGACTCCAAAAGCCATGACTTGTCTACTGCTGTATACTGGGCACAAAGGGACTCTGAGAAAAGTCCAAAAGGACTATGAAAAAGTGTTTTCTTAATAGCACAATGGGAATCTTATATTTAACCGTGTCTTTCCTATTTGCCTCATAGAGTTTCCATGAGGCTCAAATGAGACCATGCATATGCCATAAAAATGGAGTCAAGAGCACTTATTGAGAACTCATCTGGTCCAGACTCTAGTATGGGGATGAGTTCAGCCATGAAGAAAAATCGGTCTCCCCTGAAGGGTCTGATCAAGGGGTTATAGTTACTTTCCTGCCTCACCAAGTTCATTGCCAGAGAAGATGATACATGGTTCAATTTTCTTCTTATTTCTATTTCTGCTGTTCCTAGAAATGGAAGAGGACTTCCATGAGGCAGGCAGTGGGGATGAGGAGGAGAAACAGTGCACCATATCTTTTGGAGACGAGGGAGTTAGCCCTTGAGGAGATATCCTCAAGGGTTTTGTTAATCTTAAAGACCTCAGAAGAGCATTAAAGCAGGAACAACAAAACCAGTGAGTGGTCAGGTGGGAAGGCAATTCATAAATCTGGAATTTGCAAATTCCATTGTTCTGGCCTGAGTGAAAAGGAAGACACTCCAAGGGGCCGACCCGAGTCCCTGGACCAGTGAAGAGGAAGGCCCGTTTCCCAAGCAAC